TTTTGGCACAAGAAAATCAAATGGTTTAAGTCAACTCGTACCAAATAAAATAAGTAAAAAACATCATTTATTTGAGTTATATTATTATAATTGTGTTGGGTTCATTAGGCTCCAATTAATTGATTAAGAACACTAAAACAATTTGAGTTGCATAACTTAAATCAATTGGTGCAATCGGTTTCCCCAAATCATTTGAGTTAGGTTAACTTGTCAGGTTTTACAGTGTATCTGCGCAGTTAAGCACAGTAAGCCTTCATAAAGGACTGTTGCTTTGCTGATTTTTATCTTATTTATAGCCTTTTTCTTACAAATTCATGCTAGCATATCCAGTCAAACCAAGCTAATATCTTGTCGTCTAACAGTATTTTTAATCTGCATTATGCACTCTGATTAGGGAACTTTGCGTCACATTACCAGGACGCATTGGACAGTGATTTTTATTCGTTTTCTATACGGTTTTGGAGGGCAAACCACTATGTTGATGGTATCAGTGGAAAATCTAAGATCTCACGTTTTGGATAAAAAAAAAGGAAATTAGTAGCTATTATGGATTAAGAGATACATCCAAAAATGTACAATAGCCCTTGAAGGTTTAATAAGCCTCTTGCAAACATAAATAAGCGATTGCATTTATTTTTAAATATTTTATGAAGGCATATTAAGTGACAAAAATACGCATCTTGTAGGGCTTGAAGATATGGCTCAAAAATAAGATAGATTAATTGATTTTTGTTCTCCCTTAAATTTCTTACTAAAAATTAAGAAGGCCATGAATTACTTTCATAAGCTGACTTTTATTCGAATTCTAAGTGCAACTAAATCCAACCTGTGAAACATTCTGGAAAAAAGTACTTTGTAGCCCCTGCCACTGAAAAGGATTAAACATAACACACTTAATATTAAAATCAAATGTTTTTACCCAATACATATTTCCAGGGTCACCAACGGGGGCAGTGGAGTTGACCAAACTGAAACATCAAGCAAAGATGGATAGACAGAAGATTGATCACCTTAAGGACCGCATTAAATACCTGGAGGAGGCCAACAGGGAGCTGAAAAAGGACAAAGACTTCCTTCTGTCACAAATTAAGGAAGCCACTGTGGCACCTGCATCTAGCAGCAAGTCAGGTACAATGGTCATAAAATCAATAGCAAAATAGTATGGATTTTGAAGTGTAGAGTGACATGGTTATGCTCACTGTGAGGCGTTGTACATAGTGCACCAAAAGGCTATTATTTTATAGTCATAGGAAACCAAGCATTTAAGGTGCAGACGTCCACCTCAAACCAAGATGACTGGACTAGCTGCTATTGTGATGGATTTCCATTACCAATAAAATGGATGGACCAATCATAATTTCCGCTTGGGATTTGTGACATATGTCTGAGTAGCAACCTTTTGGGTTCAGGCAAAGGCGCCTCGCAGTTTACTATATTTTCTGGATTATCAGGCACACTTAAAATCATTACATTTTCTCCAAAAATTATGTTACACATTTTTAATCTGGTGCACCTTATGATTACCATAGTTCTTGTGCTTAATTCAATTCATTTTTTTTTAGATAGCAACAATTCATGAAACATGTCATCTCAAGGCACTTTACAAAGTCAAGTTCAATCATATTAAACAGATTGGGTCAGATTTTACAGATTGGTCAAAAAAAATTCCTATATATGGGAACCAGTTTATTGCATCAAAGTCAAGACAAGCAGCATCACTCCTGAAGAAGCGTAGAGCCACAGGGAGAGTTCTCTGCATTGTCCATGGGTTTGCAGCAATCCCTCATACTGAGCAATGATGAAAAACTCCCCATTAACGGGAAGGAAAAACCTCCAGCAGAACCGGGCTCAGTATGAACGGTCATCTGCCTCGACCGACTGGGGTTTACAGAAGACAGAGCAGAGACACAACAAGAGAGACAAACAAGCACAGAAGCACACATTGATCCAGTAATCTGTTCTACAATAGATGGTAATAGCTGTCCAGAGCTGTCTTCCATGGGTGATGTCTAAGATAACAGAACGCCAGACAAGATGTACCTACTATGAACAAAAAAGAGAACAAAAATTTAAAAGCAGAATTGATGACAAGCAATGCATAATTGAAGAGCAGTAGAACTCTATAGAGTGAGAAAAACAGATCACAATGTCCTCCAGTAGACTAAGCCTATAGCAGCATAACTACAGAGGTAGCTCAGGGTAACATGAGCCACTCTTAACTATAAGCTTTTTCAAAAAGGAAAGTTTTAAGATTAGTCTTAAAAGTAGACAGGGTGTCAAATGAATAAACCAGGGAGCCAGCTTCCTTTGAATTATCACCTTCTTTTTCAAGGGAGCTACATTGTCTAACGCAGAATGCAATGGCTAAGTCACACCGTTAACAAAGGTGTCGATTTGTGAAAGGGAAGAAACAGCATTGCTGCCATCTACAGGGCATTTCTGCAATGCTAAGGATATTAAAAGGGGGACAGACTCTTTAAGTTTGGATACATCATTATCCGATAAAGATCTAATATAATGGAACGTTCTTTTGGGGGTGGAGAACTCAGATTAAACTCAAAGGTTATTAAAAAATGGTCACATAAGACAGGGTTGTGAGGAAATATTGTTAATTCTTCACAATCAATGCCAAATGCCAGCACAAGGTCTAAAGTATGAAGCCAACAGTGCATCGGTTTATGCACATTTTGAGTAAAACCAATTGAATCTAGGATAGTTTTAAAGGCTACACTAAGCTTATCACATTCTATGTCAACATTAATGTTAAAATCACCCACTATTCAATTCAATTCAGTTTATTTATATAGCGCCAAATTCACAACACATGTCATCTCAAGGCATTTTACAGTTCAACCAGATCATACAGTCAAATTGATACAAATTTAAATGGTCTCATGATAGCCAAAGTTAAGAACAATCACATATGACTGTGTAATTTAATGTAAAAACATGCACAACAATAACTTTTTAAAGGTTTATAATTAGATCTGTCATGACATATTTATGATGGGTTATGAGTTTTGGGTTTATGTAAAGTCATAATGAAGACATTTGTGTCTCTGTTAATGTCACGTTGTCATAACAAAGACATTTTTGTCTCTGTTAATGTCACGTTGTCATAACAAAGACATTTTAAACAATGTCAACTTTGCTTTAATAGTGTCATAATTTACCGAATGACAATTAATGACAACAGTCCTTAACATTCATAAAGATTCATTAATGTTCATAACACGTGTTATGTCATGTTTATGACAGTGTAATGTCAGTCTTATGTACACCCCTTCAAATAAAGTGTTACCGAAAAATGATTATTTTTAGTTTTTAATACAGTTAATCTTATGGCATGTGTAAAAGGTATGTTGAACACTCTCATTTTGACCATATTTCTTAATTTTGAACAAGGTTGTGTTAATGATTTAAAACTAAACTATTGATGGGTAAGTATTCAAAGTACAGGAGGCCATAAAATGAGTATCTCCTGGGGGGCGAACATCATTTGAGCCTCGAGGAGAGAGGTCTGCTTGGTTTACAGAAGGTCAAAAGTCTTCCAGAATAAACATCTGGGATGGTGTGAAACTGGATATAATATAGAATGTTAAAACACTAACATTTAGTTTTTAAGACATTTTTCTAATTTTAGAATTAACTAGTTTAGTAGATGATGAATTTGAAAATTGTAGTATCTGTGACAATATCAGAATCAAATGGAAATTGTTTGAATGAAAATGTTTTGTTTAGTATTAGAAAATTGCTCAGGATCTATGCTAAATGGGGTAATTGAATGTGTTAGCTTGTATACTTAGGATTGAATATTATGTTTCATATGTGAGAAAAAGGAATTGTATCTCATGTTCTGTTGATTCTATGTGTTATTTTTGGTTTAAGGCAGGTTTCAATCTTTTGGGGTGAGATAGTGCAGAAGAGCAAAATTGGGTTTGCGAAGATAACCTTTCCTTCAACCAAATTACTGAATTTAAGTTTGTTCCCGAGAATTTATGGCAGGAAGAGGCCCCGCATTCCAAAGCTATTCTGTGAGGTCTTATCTCATGTTTTCTTTAGCCAGAAGACCTTAGAATTCCTGGACGCCAGGCCGTAAATTAGGCGAAGCTCTAAGTTTTTCTGAGTGTCAGAGATAGCTCCTGGTTGGAGGAGCAAAAGCCAGCCTTATTTGAATAAGTTAAATACAAGAGGATAAAACTTTCTACATAGAAGTAACAAATCAGATTTGCTCTCGCAACTCTCCAAAGATGTCTTTGTACGTCTTTGCTTTCTTACCTTCTCTCCATTTATGTCTGGTAATTGAATGTATGTCTTCGTTGTTCTGCAGTTTCTGGTGTAAGTTTATACATTGTCTTATATTGGATTAAACTCTGTAATTCTGTGACGTCAACACGCATTGCTGTTTTCCTTGGGGCCACATGCAGCTCGCCGAGAGGACCTGGGATAAAAAGGAAGAGAGAAAGCCAACCTTTTTCCAAAGATAACTATTTTAGAATATTTTCTTCCTTAACACCTGTAAACCTGCCTGCCTGCCTAAGGGAGCCAAACCTGAAGATCTTAATCTAGACTCCTCCTGCTGCTCTCAAGGAAGAGCTGGAATCTCAAACCAAGGTCTGCCACTCACAAGTCAGAAGCTAGACGCTGCTGCTGCTGCTGAACACTCTGCTGAACCAACAGTCTCTGGACCGAACCGGTTTCCTCTCTCTCAAAGATATGTCTGGACCTCTTCAAGGTATATTCTGAATAATCTAAAATCAACAAACCATCTGACCGCCTGGCTAATCAAACTATCCGTCTCTGCAGACATCAGTGAATCCAGTCCCGGACCAGTGCCTGAGCCAGTTCATGTTCTTTGTGTGAAAACCTTCAATAAACTCTGTTAAACTTTTACTCTGTTTCCAGTGGTGTTCTGCATGTGGGTTAAGTCTCTTAAGCCAATCATGACACCAAAAATATTTTTCTACCATATGTTTAAAGAAATATTAGAAAAAATAAACCTTTGAAAGGGGCCTTGAACCCTGTGAGCCACATGAAACATAAGCAGATCATGTAGGAGAAGATCTCGATCATTTATGGCTCTTAAGGGCCTGACGCAACCTGCACTGGTCATGTAGTCCAAAAGAGGATCTATGGCTCTCGGTAGCTCCTCCAGGGTAGAACTTTCAGACACCTAATAAAGTTTAACACAAGAGCAAACAGACAAATAGGAACAACATAATATTAGTTTACTTTGAAAAATACATTAGAAAAATCTCAAACAGTATTGTTAACAATTTATATTTTACATGAATAGTATGTACAGTTAAAAGTAAATTAATTAGTGAGTGGATTATTACTGTTTTCAATTTTTCCTGAAGGTCCGCATCTGTTATATCCTTCAGAGTAGGGCAAACTGCATTTGGACCTCCAACCAAGCCAGCAAAAAGAACTGGAGAAAGGAACCTTGGAGCTGGACCTCCATGCACAAGGCTAACAGCGATTGCCCACCCAGCCATAAAGTACCTGTCCTCCCTGAGTGCTGTATTGCAAAAATGTCTTTTGTAAAAATATAATTTAAAAAATAGACATTTTGACAATAAATGCTGGAAAATTACGATCCAAAACAAACCTGTACTGTTCTTAGCTAAATGTTTGCATTCCTCAGGGCCTTCAAACATTGGAGACATGGACAAGGCTTCAATGAGTAAACGTAAGAATTCCCTCCATGGGCCACACAAATCAATCACTGCATGAAAAGTGAGATTTTCGTCCCCGTAAACTCCCGCAGATCTCCCTGATTTTCGTCAGTTTCCGACAATTTGCAACCCGCGCTTGTCCGCGTTTGTCATGCCACAAATTGTCGGAAACGGACTCTGACGTATGTGGAGAGCGATCAGCTGTACTAATGGCCCTAATTAGCATATGAATGCAGCAAACCCGCGCGGCTGGCCAGGTCTGGCTTGAATAACCTTCTCAGTATTGGCTGAAACCACTATTCTCAAACAAGTAAAATCGCTCGTGATTGGCAGCAAAACCACACGTGGCCACGCCAGGCTTTAATTTTCTTACTGAGTATTGGACGGAACCACTTCTTTTTAAACAAGTAAAGTCGCTCGTGATTGGTTGGCATATATATATATATTTACATATATATATATTTATGAATATATATTTATTCATTCATATATTTATTTTTTATCATCTCTAGATACTCACAATTGAATCTCAATACTAGCCAAAATGGCATGATTCATTTCTTCGTCATCAGAGGACAGATCAGAAACACTTGACATCACTGACAAATAAGTGGTGTAGTTGGAGCTTGCATGTGGTGTAGGCTCATCTTGGCAGATTTCAAGGGAGGGATTAGAACAGGGGTGTCAAACCAGTTCCAGAAAGGGCCGTGTGGCTGCAGGTTTTCTATCCTACCAAGCTATGGCACACCAGACTCCATTCAACTGTAAAGTGCCTTGAGATGACATGTGTTGTGAATTTGGCGCTATATAAATAAACTGAATTGAATTGAATTCATCTCATCAAGTATGTCCAATCTGAACATGATGACTTGATGAGATGACTGGAGTCTGGTGTGCTAATGTTTGGTTGGAAAGAAAACCTGCAGCCACACGGCCCTTTCTGGAACCGGTTTTACACCCCTGGATTAGAATCTGTAGCAGAAGAGCTGGTACTGATAGTGGTAGCCGACTGAGTTTCAGTTGTAGCAGAAGGCGGCATATTTGAATGGCTGTTGTCAGATGGGCAAAAGGTTGAATGATCTATTTCTGGCAACTCTTCACCAAAATTCCCCACGTCAGTATTGTAGGGGAGGGCATTTTCTGGTGTGTTGAGTTGTTTATTTCTTGTCATGGCTCTTGTTGTCCGGGGAGATACTTCATATGAAGTCACATTCCTTAGCTCTGGATCTTCCTGTAAAAACATGATTCTTTTGAAAATTAAAAGGTTTGAAATAATATCTCCAAATCTACAGAATTATTCCCTGTAAAACTAAATTTAGAAATATGGCAACATTTATTTCTAAACCATATAAATTGTAAAAAGAAAAAACAAACAAACAATAAAAACCTCAAACTTAATGACCAAATGATTGCAGCAAAGTCTGTTCTGAAGCAAAAATATTGCTACATGTCTGTACCATCCAAAGGATCTATAATATGTTATTTATATAGAATGGAATTCCTAATAGTGTGTCCGTACACAACAGTAACATAACATTGTACACATTCAATAACTTACAAGAACAGTTTGTGATGGTTTGACATACAGAGCCTTAGATCGGAAGACCTTCTGGATCAACTGGCCATTCAGTTGTTGCCCATCTTGCAGTTTAGGAGAGATCAGTTTATTTCCACAGCCCATGAGAATCTGAAGGCTATATAAGACATGTGTGATATTTATTAAAACTATGCCTTTTAGTAAAGTACCTTTAATAAATTTTAAGAATTTAGTAAAGGTACTTCAAATATACTAACATAACGAAAGATTATCAATGTAGGATTACCTGACATTTTGAGGAATTGTCGAACCAAATCCACCTCTAATTTGCTGGATCACAGTATGATAGTCCCAAGACTTGTGGAATTCAAAGGCACTCAGTATGTGACCATTTTCATGCAAGTATTGCTTGAAAGGTGGCTTGCAAATTACTTCCCAGGTGGGATTTGGAAGGAGTATTACATCTTTGTTAAAGCATTCATGGTAATGGATACCTCTGGGTCTGAAAAATGAGGAGAACAAAACATAAAATTTTATGAAAACTGCACTATAATAAAGACCCTATTCCACCTATAGATACAATGGGTAATATTATGCCAACTCCACCGGCCGGTTTTATCATCGCAAACATCTAATATTATGGATAATCTGTGCTGGTAGCTTAAACGAAGACCAACAAAAATATTACCTTCTTCTCCTGTTAGTAGACCAAAGTCCAAAACTCTGCTGGGCTTGGAAACGTGGAGCCACAGCAGCCACCAAACCTGGTCCTGTCAAAGAGCAAGAGCTTCAGCAGGAAGAACATCTGAATGATGCTTTCATTGTCTGTATTTCCACAGATGTTATACCACCCCATGTTAGCACATGGGGTCGGATTAATAAAAATGCTTAAAAAAACATTTACTGTGATACATAGTGCCGAAGTAGCAGGCGGAGGAATACGGTGTTGTGATATGACCTGGGAGTGTTGTGATGGAGCTAATGGGTTCAGATTTCACTTGCAAATAAAAGCAACTTTCCGATGGTTAAAGCTAGTATCCGTCTATTTGTACTATGTACTGTTAGGAATAAGGAGGAATCCACTCCATTTAACATATATTAAAAGGAAAAAAGCACAATATTACTATACCTTGATTTCCTGTTTACACCGCCGAACTTCAGCCAGCTGCTCTAGTACGAAACAAAGATGATAGTTCTGTTTCAACAGAATCAGTATGGGCCACCTGAGGAGCTCTTTCACTTAAAGCCCTGGCCACACTGCTTGTTGCATCCGGTGTTGATAACATGCCATTTAAAATTGCGGCTGCTTGACTTATTTTTTCCTTACTAAAACTGCCGTTAGCCATGCTACGTCTTCTGCTCGGAAGCTCATTATTGTTGGCTCAGCAGGTAATTGGCTTGTGTGCTTCCCCCTATTGCCCACCCCGTTTTAGATAATCTTGCTCAGTTCGGGCTCCACGCATGCGCTAGCCAATTTGCCCCGCATCTTCCGTGACAGGTTGAACTCTCACACACACAAGTACAAGCCTCTCATTCAGTCTGCTACTATATCAGTCACACACACACGCGCAAGCGCACACACACACACACACACACACACATATGTATAGCCTCTCATTCAGTCTAGTATTAGTTCTAACACACACACACACATATGTATAGCCTCTCATTCAGTCTAGTTTTAGTTCACACACGCACACACACACACACACACACACGTATAGCCTCTCATTCAGTCTAGTATTTTTTCACACACACACGCACACACACACACAAACATATGTATATCCTCTCATTTAGTCTAGTATTAGTTCACACACACTTATGCCCTCTCATACAGTCTAGTATTAGTGCACACACACACATAAGACATATATTCAAGTTTAGTTTTGTGATTGTGTGTGACTGTTTCTACTGTGATGTGTGCATCTCATAGTAGTGTGTTTGAGAGGAAAACATAGTTTTTTTGAGAGTGTGTGAGTGTCTACTGAGGTGTGTGCATGGTTTTATTGGTGTACGTGAGAGGAAAAATAGTTTCTGTCCTAAACGGCCCCTCATATCAGAACGCTACCTGTTTGACCTTTGGACTCTTTTCCATCCTTGCAACAAAACTAGCAGCAGTATTGGAGATGCAATCCACTTCTTTAATCTATCTTTGCGCTCCTGTAATTTATCCAGAAGTTCTGCAATCACACTTTTTCTCTCCCTCCCAACTTGGTGGTCGGCTGCATATTTACCCTTCCCTGGTAATGCCTTTGCAAATGTTTATTTTTATTTTTTGACAACCTCTCATTACCAAGCAAAAATACAGGCAATCCTTCTGCGTTGATAATGAAAGCAAATGATTTGGTCCATTCTTTGAATCCTCTTTTCTCATTAGCTATTTTCCTTTTTTCGCTTTGGAATCCATGGTTTAAGACACGCCTGCAGCTTTGTTTGCCTGGCACCGCTGGTTCCAAGTTATAACCACTGATCTCTGTGGCTAGGCACAAATTATTGTTCAAATGTCTTTATTATAGAAAAGTTTACAGAAGTGGAAAACATAATTAATTTTTGTTTTACCTACTGCACACCATATTAAAACAAACAAAACAAAAAATTGATTTTCATATATTTTTGAAAAAGCTCCGGGGGGTTGGAGGGGGGGGGCGGATTAACTGAGGCCAAGCTGGGTTCCCACCAGTTACCTGGCTGCCCAGCTCCAGGCGGTTACCTAGCGTGCCATTGTCTCTGTGGAAAGATAGGAGCCACATTGGGGAAGAGAGGGGAAAAAAACATTTCACACTTTATCCTTGACAGGATACAGTTTGAGATATCAAAAAACTTTGCACAAGAAAGCACATGTAAACACAAGACAGACATTTAAGCAGAGGGGTCACATCGGAGGCTTAGTCACATGAAGTCAATCTGACATATTGAGACTTTAGATGTGTGTGTATGATGAGTGCATTCAATTTGTCTGTGAATGCTGACCACAGGCAATGTCCTTGATAAGATGGAAGTTTATCAACACTCACTGAGCGCATTCACAGATGTTTCGTGGGTAGGGGAGTGGGGTAAGCTGTCTTCTGTGAACTTTCGCCATACCATCCAGGGGTGATTAGATAAAGCAGGAAGGTCAAATCCAGAATAACACTTATTGTTTTGAGTTATGTACTGTGCAGGTGGATCAGATGAGAAGTAACGAAAATGCAACAGAGCTGAGCAGGTGTGTCTTGTGAGAGAGCATCACTGCTGAGATTATGACAGAATATGAGATTAGGTGGGGCTATTAACATTCTGAACAAAGCCAATTGAGTCTAAGATAGCATTAAAGGCTGAATTCAGCCATGACCTTCAATATCAGGATGAATTTTAAAATCACCCATTACAATGATCTAAACCTGTCAGAGTTCAACAGTAACTCAAATAGTAGTTCTGAAAATTGATCTAAAAATTGAGAGTAAGGAGCTGGTGGACAAAACAAGGTTACAAGCAGAAGAGGTTTTGTTGCTTTACAATTTGAATGGGGGAAACAAAAAGTTTCTTTTCTTCTCATACAATTAAAAGACACTTTTTCTCTACGACCCTTGGACATTTTCAAAGAACCAAGGTGAAAAAGGTGAGCTTCATTTATTGTCTGAAACCATAGTTCACAACATAAATGCCTGAAAGTGTACATGCACAGAAAAAGATAGCTAACTGGGAATGAGCACATAGGACATCCTTACGTAAACATATAAGCAGAATGAATGACAATTAGGAGGACCACTTATTAAGATGATCCATCTAGAAATAAAAGATTGTCCTCCATATGTACCTTTAACTAACAGGCTTTCAGAAGATCAATATCCTATGTTAAATAGACCACATTTGTTTTTTGTTTTTTTTTACTTTTTCCCTGATCAGCTCCGTCGCAATTGCATTTGAATGTTGGCACATCAATACATTCCATGTAAATACCACTATATTCCGCAAGTGGCGTAATACAGTGGTGGCGCTCTAAGGCAGCGGCCAAGAAAAGTTCCTTCCTACAGTTTCACAAAATATGCCGCTTAAAATGATACAAACTAGACATCAAATCCGCACCTATGATCACCAACGCCCGCTGGAGCTACGATCACAAAATGTTGTAAATACAGACATTTTTGACCATTTAAAAAGCTACGTAGAGCTGGACGGATGTAAATATAACAACAGCGTAACATAATGGACGGAGGAAGAGATGCATGAGACGGAGAAAGCGAGGCTGTGGAGGTGGGCTAAATACAAAGCTAAAGAGAAATCCCCACAGACCGCCGCTTCCATCAGTCCTGCTCTCCAATGTTGAAAAACAACATGGATAATCTCTGACTCGAACTCTCTTCAAAAAAGGAGGTACGTAACTGCTGCGCCATCATTCTGGTGGAATGCACGAAAAGCACGGAACTCGGCTTTCAAGTCTGGTGATAAAGATGCACTGAGAAATGCGCTCGCCAACTGAAACCATGCCATCAGATCAGCAAAGCAGAACCACAGCCAGAAGATTCAGTATCTTTTCCACAACGACAGCAACAACAGGAGGATGTGGAAAGGCATTCGGATGATCACGGCACTGGCATAACTTTCTGAAGGACTGGTATGGACATGTCCCCTCCAACTTCGTCATGGAGGGGACAGTCCCCACCAATTATTTCCGCTTTTTCTCCCCCTTTCCGCTGATTTACATTAGCCTACAGTGGGCGCTGGTTGGAAATGGACACTTCACTCACGCTCCACGTGTTTCACATATTGTGTGAAAAACATGTGACTACTATAGCCACTAGGTGGCAGTCTGAGTCCATTTCGGCGTCCCATGAGTCAGATTAGATAGGTGAATGAGCAGACTGGGAGGGGTATGAGTTGTTGCAAGCTGAGAACATTATTGTTCCCCAGGTTTAGCGTAGACTCTAGAGAGGGTAAGGCGAAAGGTCTGCACTTCCAAAGGTTAAGGGTTCGGTCCCAGCTGTGGTCAAGTTATTAATGTTGCCTTAAATGTTTTTCTTTTTTTTTAATCACTTGATGGCCTATGATATCAGAAATTGTACAATAACTTCTTTAACTTATTTATATACATTACGGATAGTAGCCTATTATGCTGTTTGACTTTATGGCATCTTTCTTTTATTTAGATCAGCTGATGTGCGCTCCGCCTTTCCAAGGAATTTCATTAGACCATAGGGATTATCATTCTACAGCCTCAATATCTTACTCTGATAATAATAGGCGTATTGTTATACAATTTTTGTTATTTTTATTATCATCTAGTTGGTAAAATTTTCAGTTTGATTTGGAAAAGGACGCTATGATGCCTTACAACAAGCATGAAAGGCCCAACCCCCCAAGCTTTTTGGGCACATTATGCAAGAATGCTGCTTGCTGCCGCGATGAATAGCGGCGTTTCTAAACTGTTGTCAGGGATGGTTGTGACCCACCCAAAAGTCAGTGAGCTAATCTGGAGTATTTCCATTTTAAATACAGTGAACCCTCGTTTATCGCGGAGGTTACGTTCCAAAAAGAACCAGCGATAGGTGAAATACGTCAAGTAGAAACCTTTTTTTTTTTTTTGAGTTATCATACGACAACATTGAAATCAGGGAATAAAAACTTTATACAGGCCCAAGCATTTGTTTAACAAATAAAAGTACGGTATAAATGTTAACTACTGTAGTGTACTGTAAAATAATATAGTTATAAATACTTTTAATCATCAATACGAAATAAAGGGTTAATATTGCGGGGATCAGCACCGCCCCGCAGTGATGGATTGGATTTTTCTTCCAAAGCCTGCGGTGCAGCTGTGTGTTTTGGAGAGAAGAACATAGTTATGTGATCAACGCGCAAGTCAGTGAGCTAATCCGGTTTATTCCCATTTTAAATCATGTACTATTTAACCACGTATGACCAGAACGTAATCTGGATATAATGGGTTCCTCTATGTCATCCTGTTCTAAACATCACCAATTAATTAAGCAAACCACTTAATGCAGGAATGCCGCTACTACTATAGCGGTGCTTGAACTCTATTGTCAGAGAACAAGAGAGTAAATGTCTACACATCGGTTTTTCCAAGACAACGATGAGGTCATAGCCTTGAATGGAGCAGCGACTGGCATGTAATATTCCCAGGGCCAAGAGATACATGTCATTTGCTATCAGTAATATATTGATTTGAAATGCAAATAAAAAACATTTTCTATGAGACATTTTCCTGACTTTATGTTTCACTATTATATTATGGGCTACTATATAAATCTTTTTAAGCAAACCTGTAAAAATGTAATGATGTCAGAATATTGGACCCAGAATTCGAGGCGAGACAGGCAGTGGGAAAGTTTAAAACGTTTATTAAACACTAACAGGTGAGCGGGGCTGCTCGTCTGCTGCGGGGCAGATCTCTGCAGGGATAGGAGAATACTGGGCAAAAAACTCTGATTACTTCCAAAGAAAAATTATTATAAGAGATGCAGAGTTCAGGATTATTCAACCACTCTGATGTTCCCCATAATTTGGCCTTTCCCGCTAACAGAGAGATTACATAGGCCACCTTGGCTCGATCAGAAGGAAACGCAGAGGGCTGTAATTCAAAATGAATTTCGCACCGAGTCAGGAAGGCTCTGCATTGATCAGGGTCCCCTTTAAACGCTTCAGGAGGGGACAGACGCGGTTCAAGAGAAGCTGGACTATCAGTAGCAGATGACGGCGCGGCAGCTGTCAGGGGCGGGGCAGCTGGAGCAGCCTGATTAATAATCAAGAATCTCCTGCATGCCTGATTCTAGCCGGGAAATACTTTGATCCACATCATTTCGCCACTGCCAGGTTATTCTGTGATGATCTCAGAATATTGGACCCAGAATTCAAGGCGAGACAGGCAGTGGGAAAGTTCACAGCGTTTATTAATCAAAACAGGTGCGCGGGGCTGCTCGTCTGCTGCGGGGCTGATCTCTGCATGGATAGGAGAATACAGGCCAGAGACTGGATGTGGAGCTGAATGCGACTTGGAGCAAAGTCACTGACTTGATTCAAAGTTCAGTTCATTCGGGGAGAAACTCAGCAGAATCCAGAAGGGAGATTTGACCAGCAGTTGCGGCGGCCACGCCCCCAGAGTTTCTAGAGGGCGAGTAGCAGACGCAGCTGATCCACAGGACAGAAAACTGGTCATAATCAGGGAAGCAGAGAGACTAAAGAAAGCTAGGAAACGTCTCACCAAAACACACAAATAACCTGGCGCTGATGGGAGGCAAACACACAACTTAGAACCGCAGAACCAATTAGACAGGGAGCAGGGGCAGAGGAAAAAACCAAACCATCAGCGCCAAGATCCTGACATAAAAACCCCATTTCCATTTCTTTCGTTTTTAAAATTAAATAAAAAAATTAAATGGCAAAAATCCAAACGTGTCTGCTAGTTTAAAGTCCATCTTATTTATTTGAATATTTAACGAAAACATTGCAGATGCTTCACACGCACACAAAATGACAGAAAGATCTGAGCGTTTTAGTTTCTATATATATATATATATATATATATATATATATATATAATACCTTTCAAAAACTATGAGTGTTTTTAAAATCTAGTGATTTTTTGAAAGAAAATAAAAGAATAAAAATAGTTAAGCATTTTAAAAGCAATTTTACAAAAAAGGAACATAACAGCATTTTTTAAATAAATGATTTATTATGAGAATATATCATTTCACCATTTATTGGGGGTAATTAATTGAATGCTTATTTATTTATTGAACATGTATAT